CTTAAATTTACTGCCTCCACAACATCCAAAGGCAACTCAATCTAAAGGCCAACCACCCCCTGTTGGAAAATAAAACTGTCTTAGCTAAAGATGTCTACTACCTTGCCAAAATGTATGTTTGTGTCCCCTAGTCCCACTATTCTCGCCATTAAGTATGAAAACAGATGACGCATCAATACTATCAATTCCATTTACAATCTTAAATACCTCAATCAGATCCTCTGTAACTCTTCTTGTTTTCAAAAGAAAACAATTACAGAGATGTTAATCTTTCTTCATGTGATAACCTCTCCATCCCAGACACCATTCTAATCACCCTTATCTGAACCCTTTCCAACAATTCAATGTCCTTCCTAAGAAAAGGAGCCCAAGACTGAACACAATATTCCAAATGTGGCCTAACCAGTGATTTATACAATGAAATTATAACCTCTTTAGACTTATATTCAACATTTCTGAAGATATAACCTGAAATCATATTTGCCCTACCACTAGCAACAGCACAGTGCTTCAATGGCTTAAGAGACTGATCAACCATTGCACCAAGATTCTTTTCTTTCATGACATTGTTAAGGTTATTTCCATCCAAATTATACTTATAATTTAAATTATGATAGCTCACATGTATTATCTTGCATTTATTATAATTAAAACCCATGTGTCATTTATTTGCCCAACTCACTAAATGATCTAAATCCTTTTGTAAAGCAGCAGTATCCTCTTCACAGTTAGCAATACACAATACCTTAACATCATCAGCAAAGTTAAGTAATTTATTGACCATTCCGTCATCTATGTTATTGATGTAAATCAAAAACAGCAAAGGTCATAACATTGAGCTCTGAGTTACCACACTTGTGGCATTAATCCAATTTGACGTAACTCCATTTATAACAATCCTGTGCTTTCTTCCATCCAGCCACTCTTCTATCTAATTAGCTAATTTAACCCCCACACCTGAAGAGATAATTTCTACACGCCTTTTATGTGGCACCTTGTCAAAAGCTTTCTGAAAATTCAAATACATCAAATCTATACCCTTACCCTCATCTACATAAGCAGTAACCTTTTCAAGGAATGTCAAAAGATTTGTAAGGCAAGATTTTCCCTTAGTGAAACCATGTTGACTATCCAAAATAATTCTAAACTTTATTAAATGACTTTGCAAAGCATCTTTTATCAGATTCTCCAAAACTTTTCCCACAACTGATGTAAAACTAATAGGCCTATAATTACTAGGACAATTTTTATTACCTCTCTTGAAAAGAGGAGTGACATTAGCTAACTTCTAATCCTTGGGCACCTGCCCACTATTCAAGCACTTAAAAAAATAGTAGCAAGTGGCTCACATATCCAATCCTTAGCCTCCTTTAAAACCCTTGAGGAAATATTATCTGGCCAAAGAGCCTTATCATTTATAAAACTTCCCAATTTTTTCTCAACAAGCTCAGAATTATTACGATCCTATTGTCCGACCTTGTTTTCATTTATCAACTCTTCAAGATGAGGAATACTACTTAAATCTTCATTACTAAAAATTGAAGAAAAACTGGAATACAATAACCAAGCTATCTCATAATCATCAGATACAAGCCTTTATCATCCCTCAACCGGTTGTGTGCACATATCAAATGATCGCGTAGGTAACTAATTAGATTTATACTGTTACGACTGCGAAAGTCACGTGACGCTGGTAACACGTCATCAGTATATAGAAGGATCGTGTCTCTTCCTGGCATCTCTAGTCTTTTCTATGCGCCCTCTATTTTAGTATATAAGCAGGCAAATAAAGCGGAGGAACAATTGCAGATAGGGAGATATAGAGACAGATAATCGAGTCAAGCCGTAAGTAAAATGCGTGAATCGTTGTGAATTCTAGCGTGTGTTAAGTTAAAATGACTGTGG